TTATAGTGACCGCTCCATAACCATTGAAGTTATAAACAGCTATTTTATAGTGATTTCGTAATAATCTCTTAAACTAAATTTCTTCAAACGAAGAATATGACATTGAATCGAACGGACTAACTTGAAATGATTGTAAATCGTACATTATGGACTATAAGTCCAATATAAATGAAATGGCTGCTACGTTATATGTCAGCCACGTTTCCTAAACAGAAGTTAAAACGAACTGTTATATGCAATAACTTACATAGGTAGTTTTTATACGTAGTTTTATATGTACTGAAAGATTTGGACAGTTGGTGTGTTTTCCGAATAGAAATATTTGTGGTTTTATATACATAAAATACAATTATATATTTTCTAAGTAAAAGGCAATTTTTTCAATCTGGCGTATTTGCAATCAAAAGTGTTAAAGTTGTAGTTTAGCAACCTTTTTAAATGTATCTGGCGGTTGAGAAACACGAAATAATAGTTAAATATTGCCAATTATTTAAATGCAGTAATAAATTTACGTACATTGTGTTTGCACAAACAAAACTATTATATATTTAAATTCAATTATTATTGATGCTGTAAAATTGGCGCAGCATATTTCTACAGCAATAGAAGCAAAACTTACTGAACTTCAGACATCATTCCCTCCTTGGCGTCCCCATAGATATCTTATATACACTAGATAGCGCATTTCTTTTAGTAAAATTGAATTCAGCCAAGAATATTCCAGCGCTTACCTCCATTTGAAGAGATGGCGGCCATGTTGGTAGTTCCCACTCGCTAATAAACGCTCAAAAAACAACAATAACTTTCATCATTTGAATAGTTTGAAAATGTATTTGGAATAGGTTTAACTTAATGTTTAAGTTCCCTGTTTAAGAAATAGAAAACATACGAATCTTCTCATTTCATGAGAATAGCCTGAGTCTGCAATCACGGCTTCAATTTTTGAATTGAGAAACGTTCCGCTTGAGAAACGTTCCAAAAATTTAAAGAATTGAATATAGTCATATAAACCAAGTGGTAAAGTATATATACATTAGATTTTCCTCTTTAAAAAACTCGGCCAATAGCTCGTGACTCAACATAATTCAAGGCGTTTCGCTATCATAAATTCCTTGTGCGTGATTGGAGCATTTATCTGCTTTACTATTGGTTAAACAGAACTTTGAATTCTGTTAAAATTAGCGAAAATGATCGGAAGTCGGGGTACGTCGTGCGCCCTTCGTGTTGTCGTTCTGACGGATGGTAAAGAGTCGAGCAGGTTTGAGAGCGAAGAAGGAAGCTCAAAACGCCGTAATGGCGGAAGGCGAAAAGAGTTTGGTCTTTTTAGACAACGAAAAGGACCTCGAAGAAGGCGAAATTGACGATTTAGAAGAAGGAGAAATAGACGAAGGCTTCGAGGGAATATCTGAGTACCGTTTCAGCGCGAGAGAAGAGAAATCTAGCAGCGAAAACGACCTACTAACACGACAACACAAGCAGCCCAAATCTGAATGTCTCGCTAACACTAACCAAAGGAATTCGTTTCGAAACACAAAATACTCGCGGGATCGGGATGAAAGAAGAACAGAGACGCATTCTTCGAGGAGCTACGTGAAGGCTGGCAGAAATCGGGCTGGTTTTAAACAGAATTTCGCTGGGAAAAAGCAAGATGAATCGTTGCGTGGTGATACTAAGTACAGGACGCGTGACACAACTGCGTCATGGCGGAATGAAGATCGTATCCTTTTGATCCTTCCTGCGAGTTGAGATAATTAAGCTGTGAAAGTGAAAATGAAACTGGTAGTATTAGTGGTATGAGAATGGGATGCGCTTGTATATTAGGACGAAATATACAAGCCCCACATGTTAGTAATAAAACTGCCTTGTTCTTTGTTAAATATCGGGATGAATAAAACTGGATCTATTAAAAGAATGAGGCAGTTTAATAATATAAAAGGCCGATTACATGCAACCTGCTTACAACTTGAGTTGTACTGTGTAAATCGAGCGTGCAACTCGCTTATGTTGTCATATGTGTGTTGTGTGCTTGATTTACAAATTACAACTCAACTGTAAATCAGCCTTACTGTAATTTGGCACAAACTCTGTCTAAGGCCAGACAATTTTACTTATCAAGGGCAGAGTGCTGGAGCTCAATGGGTTAATCAGTCTATCTGCCCATGTCTCTAGCTAACCCATTACATACATACATACATATATTAAAATGTTAGGGTTTGGAATCCAAGTGATAATATATACATTTTAAGACCTAACCAGGAATGACTGCGAAAAATGCAGCACAAGGTCCTCTGGTAGGAATTGAACCTACGGCCCTGCGATTCCGGTGCAGCGCTCTAACCAACTGAGCTACAGAGGCCAGCTGTTGAGCTGTAACCGTAAGTTCATGTATATATATAGGTAATCGGGTGTGCGGGTTGTGATAAGGTGGACTTCATGACTTAGATTCTTGCACTTCACTTGGTGGAATTAATATTAGAATGTTAGGGTTTGGAATCCAAGTGATAATATATACATTTTAAGACCTAACCAGGTGAAGATTAATTCCACCAAGTGAAGTGCAAGAATCTAAATCTAATACATACATATACATACATAAACTTTATTTATACTCGAATTTGCGAGTAGCTTACATAGCTAATTTCTCCGAGTAACTAAGTATAATTAATTAATATATAAATAAATACTAATACTAAATAGAAGCTATATATACAAAAAGAATTTAATGTGAAGGTTCATAACGTAGAATACGTCGTTTAAAGTCAAGAAAGTTGGTCATTCTATAACGGTCTGGAAGAGAATTCCATAATTTAGCTGCCAAATAGGAAAAGGAATGTAAACCATAGGTCGTTGTCTTCGAATGAGGTAGCGATAAGATGTAGTTACCACGTAAACCATATGGTGTATCCCATAGTTTGAACATATTTCTAATATATCCTGGATAATTATTAGGAATATACAAACTTTTGTATAATATGATCAAACCCATTGAGTTGCATTGTACCCTGATGTGCGCTACTTTATTATTTTACTCTGTCTAATGCCAGACAATAGGGACCTTTAGCAAATAGGTGACGGCAACGTGACGACGATGGCCAAAAATCAAAATAAACTCGTTCGAATAAGTAACTTTAAGATCAACATGTCTTGTATTATCCGTTGTATGAATTTATTTATGAGGTTTATAGTTGAGAAGACTTCTACTAAGCTAATTTGGCGAGGACGACTTCTCGCGGCTTGAAAGGCAGACGTTGTGTACAGAACGTGAAAATCATTGGTTTGCTGTTGTAAACAGAGCAAGGACGATGTCTAAAACTCCCATGGGACCTTTAATTATGCATTTTCTTTCTACACTGTCATAAATTTCATTGTATTAATAGCCGTTCCTGTCCTGCTAGCTAAAGGTCCCTAATTTTACACAAGGTGAGAGCGCTCAAGCTTAAATAGGGAGTTCACAGTAATTTTGAGCAAAAGAATCTTGATGAGATTGAGTTTTTCCAACCCGAGTGAATTGGTGTCCATCCTAAAGTTCTGTAACTTTGTCCATCGTAAAACAAAATGTACCCTGGTCCTGGACTAGAGGCTCGCATGTTCAATGGAGAATCAGAGTAATGTTAAATATCTGAACATCATTGTATACATATGTCCAACTCAAACTCAAAGTCATGGGACGTTTTGTCAGACAGCCCTGTAAAAGATATTTTAATTAAGGCCTGTTTGCTAAGTGTTAATTATATTATTTTCTTGACTATTGTGAAGTTGATTCCTATTCTTCAAACTTTGACGACAACTATCCCCACAGAACCCCTCGTCAACCCGCACCCCGCGAAGTCCCCTCCGACCTTAACAAGGACATTGATGAGCTAAACGATGACGATGCAGATTTCAAACGTCTTCTTGAACAATACAAACATATACAAGAGCAATTAGATGGACTGGAATTTCGACCCAAATATCGTTCGTTAGTCGACGATGTCATTGATGATTCGTTTGTGGACGTGCCTTTAGATGACGTTGGGAACTCTGAAAAACCGCAAGACAATTTGGACGCTGAAATACGGAAACTCGAATTAGACTTTAATCAGACGAACTCAATCGATACTGAAATAAGCTCGGGGGATCCAGTTCAATTGGATTACATGAAATACTTGCAAAGTATTCCTACTATTTCTCAAAGTATACCGACAACTTATGTAAACGATGAGAATAATTACAATACTTATGGTCAAGAGCAACCGTTCTTTGGTATCTTTGAACCGTTTCAAATTAAACCTGTGCAGAAAAAAGTGCGTAGTTTAAGCGAACTTAATCAAATAGATATGGCCTCGAGAGGATTAGTTGGTGATCGCGATGGCCAAGCTAAGGTCGCAAACGGTCGAAGTAAACCCAAGGGTAAAAACAAAGCAAGCCGAAGGCCTAATAAGAGCATACGACGGCGTATGAAGCGGAAAGCAGCGTCGAATGACCAGTCTGGTAGTAAGTTATTGACGAGTGATGCTCACAAAAATAATGGGTAAGAAATGCAATACCATTACATTACCTGACGGGCTTGTTAGTCTTCATTCCATATGAATTGTATCTTTATATTCTATCAAAACTGTAGCTGTATAATGGAAAAATAAATATCTATTAGCACATGTTTTAAACAAAGTCTTAGGTGCTCAAAAAATTGCATGCGGAAAATTTTTAATAAAGTGTAAAAAACATTCCGTTTCAGGTCAGTTATTTTACAGTCAAAATACAAAAAGAGTCCCACTTGCGCTACTTTAGTTTGTTGCGATTTACTGCAATAGGCAATTCCAGCTTTTGACTAATTTTTTATCTAGGCAAGAAGAACAAAATCC